CAACAACACAGGACACACTGCTACCATATCACATACTCTGGTGCAATAACAGAGATTTACAAGCAGAACACTATCAGCCAAGGCAGCAAAAATGTCAAGTGGAAAGGTTAGATCATAGCTAAAGTGGTCTCCTATTGGGCTATTGTGTGACCAGGCGGTGACAGCCCCAGCCCCCTGGGATCATAAAGAAGGAATAAAGACTCTGAGAACGTTATAGGGAATTAAAATTAGGCCACAACTTATTAAACTTCTGAATGTAGGAAGACCTTGGTTTAGGCCTTGGGCGTGTATCCCTCCCAGTCCCCCAGCTGGGGGGAACTGGGGCTCACCAGGGTAAATGTGATATGGGGGTGCTCTGCAAGATGTAAGTGTAGCAGGCAGCCCAGCCCATATCCCCACATGCAGGGTAGTTCACTGACGACCTTTGAGTGTATGGCCAGTGACACCCATATATATAACCCCTTTAAGAGGGGGACCCTGGAATTGCCGTCGCGTACGCGCACACACACACCCCATATAGGGAAGAAAAGACAAAAGGATTCTACCCAAAGCCATAACTGCCAAAGTTGTGACAAATTTCTACAGGGAAGACAAAACCTGCCAACGCAGGAAAATTTCTTCCCGGTCCTTCAACAGCAACCAGTCAAAGACCACAGCAGCACCCGCTAAACAGGAAGAAAAAGTTAACCTGCAAACAAGAAACATTAAACAAAGGGAGGGGAGGGAGGGTGAATCTCCAGAACCGTCTGCCTGGCTAATACCGGCTCCTCCCCATTTATAATAGGTCTGGCCCCACTTCCCAGGAAAGCTGAGTCTGGGCATGAACCTCTGAATAATACACTGAGAAGCAGGCCAGCCCTTTCTACTAGCAGGTTCCCTGGAAACTGTAGTACTGCATGCGATCCCGCAAAAGGCACCCACAATATAGTGTGAGTGCTCATTACCAGGTTTGTGTAAACTGAGTTGTCACTTATTTTATTTTACTTTGTTTGTAAAATGATCCTAAGCTAGAGCAAAGGGCTGTCATCATGGCTTTTTCACTTTACCTGCAGAACCCACGCTTAAAACTAATCTGAATTTGGTAGCAAAAAGCAGGGGGAAATTATACAGTAACTTGCTGCATATTTTTTTCAAAAGCAATGATTTGAAAGTCCCAGACATAATTGATTAGTTTCCTTGCTTGTGAACAGGTTACACATCAGAGTGGGCTTGAATTGTTCCAAAATCTAATTATCTGCTCCTTCATTTACCTTTTGGTTTGGGGTGTTTGCCAACTTGAATGTGGTTTATATTTAGCATCTTTAATATTCTCAATTGATGAGAAACCACGGGGGGCGATGATGCAACAGAGCACCCACAGCAATTCAGAAACGACTTTCTTTATATTTATACTTTTTTTGCTGCTCATGTTCAGGAACCGATGCCAGGGACTACACAAGAAACAGCTCAGCTCCCCCCCCCCCGCCCCCGAGAGGATAAATGAACAAGATTCCCAACACTGCTACCTTTCTACAAGTCTGAAACCAAGGAAATGCTGGCTGTAAATGTATGTGAACTCAAATTAGTGATGGAATCTAATGTTTCATTTATATTCAATTACTCCTGCACATATTGGCTCTAATGGACATTTATGTATACGCCGATGAGCGCATGGATTATGTGCTATTGATGGGAAGACCTAAATACCTGATGGGCCCTCTGTAAGCTTAAAAGAGTCCACAAATACCTCTTGCCAAAATAATAATAATAATAATAATAATAATAATAATAATAATAATAAATTCCCCACCACTAAGAGAGGCAGAGGGAAAAAATTCAAACCCCCATCATTCTGCCCAGACACTGAGGTCCAGTGCCGAGGGCCTTCTGGTGGTTCCCTCACTGTGAGAAGCGAAGCTACAGGGAACCAGGCAGAGGGCCTTCTCGATGGTGGCACCCACTGTGATGGCTTGTGAACGCTCTCCGCAAGAAATGCCTCTGCTCACTCAGAGATACATATGTACAGTCTTTATTTTACATATGTACAAGCAGCACGTTACAATCATGCATCTGAATCCTCCGGCTCAGATTCTTGGAGTGCCTTACGCCCGCCCCTTCTCCAACAGAAAAGATGTGGAATTTTCATGTGATGTCTCTGTCCCCTCCTCTTTAACACTCTCCTTTCCTGGGCAGACGGAACAGGCATTGCTTCACTGTCTGTGCCAGAACTTCCTGTGCGGTGTTGAGGCTCTGTTCCAACATCTGTGAGCTGTCCCTCCTTCTGGCTTTCCCTTCTTTCCTCCACCGCCACTTCCTGCTCTCCTTCCTCTGCCTGTCTCTCCTCCTCCCCTTCATTCTCCATCAATACCATGACACCCGCCCTGTGGAATGCCCTCCCACCAGATGTCAAAGAGAACAACAACTACCAGACTTTTAGAAGACATCTGAAGGCAGCCCTGTTTAGGGAAGCTTGTAATGTTTAACAGACCACTGTATTTTAATAATTTGTTGGAAGCCGCCTAGAGTGGATGGGGAAACCCGGCCAGATGGGCAGAGTAATAATAATAATAATAATAATAATAATAATAATAATAATATGATAGGAACCAGTGTGTTCCATGAGGAAGAAAGCAACTCTGCTGAATTCTCCTTGGAACTCTTGCACCTTTCAGTGGCTTTCAATATTATTGAACATGACATCATTGCAGGTCACTTTGTTGGACCAGGTCTGGAAGAAACTGTCTTTCATGGGAAATGTGCCCGTTCCTTGACTTGTAACACTTGTAACCAGAACATTATCTAAGAAAAAGATTGATCTGTTCCTTCCTGGAGGGTTTGATCTCAAAGTGCTGCTGTCCCACCACATTATTATTATTATTATTATTAATTAATTAATTAATTAATTAAATGTATATACCACCCTATACCCACAGGTCTCAGGGTGGTCCATGGGATAAAATTCCAATATACAAGCGCAGAATACACAATCAAAATACAACCAAATAACATGCCCTCCCCCCCAAAAAACCCACATTTTAAAAGAATATTGGCAGTTGACTCTACAATGCAGAAGATGTGGCAAAGTCCTTCACTGCACTTGAGGGCAGAAGGCTAACTTAAAGGGTACAGAGCAGGCTCAAGGCACTCACAGCTCTGTCCATCTTCCACCCCTCACTCTCTGACCAGTCCTCTGCCTTAGTCATATCTAGATTAGACTACTGCAATGCTCTCTATATAGCCTTGCCTTTAAAAGTTGTGAACTCAATCAACAAGTGTGGCAGCATCTACTCTTTGGAACTCCCTGCCTATTGAGATCAAATATGCTAAGTATGAACTTTATTACGGTCACAGACCAGGATAAAAAACAACAACATATAAATAAAATAGCAGTTAGGATTTTTTTTAAAACTAATAAATGTTGGAGCAAATAAGGACAAAGAAACAAGCATAGGATAAAACATCTGAATAAAATACAAGATTAAACACAGATAATGGATGGATAAAAACTGATAATTAAAACAGATAAGAACTAAAAACAAATAAAAACATGCAGTTAAAACAACTGTAAGTGCGTAAGAACTAAAAAACTCGCAGTTAAAACAACTATAAGAGGCTGCAGAGTAGAAGCCTCTGAAACAGATGACACTCACAGCATTAGAAACTGATGTGCAAATATGGTTAAGACAGGCAATTAAAACAATGTACAATAAATTTAGAAACAGTGTGCAACAATAAACTATCCCAGGGAGTTGACTCAGAGTCACCCATGGAACCGAGTTTGGGGATTTACATATTGAGATCAAAGCAGGTGGCTTCTCTGTGCTCTTTCCATTGCCTGCTAAAAACGTTCCAGTTTAGACAAACCTATCCAGATGCCTAGAAAGCTGAGGTAATTTTCATCTGTTTTAGTATTGTGACTTTTGCATGTTTCAAAGTAGGGCTCTGAAGGTTTCTCGATTCTACTGTTTTATCTCTTGCAAGCCACTTTGAGGGTTTTGTTTATAATGCATCAATTTTGCAAAACAAATACATAAATAGAAATTGCAACCGGGGTGTTGACAGATTTGAGCTGCATGGAGCATATAGCTTTAAGTTTGCAATAACTTTGTTGGCTCTGTGAAGAAATTCTGCATACAGTGGTACCTTGGTTCTCAAACTTAGTCTGTTCCAAAACCAAAACATTCCAAAACCAAGACACACTTTCTCATAGAAAGTAATGCAAAACAGATTAATCCGTTTCAGACTTTTAAAAACAACCCCTAAAACAGCAATTTAACATGAATTTTACTATCTAATGAGACCATTGATCCATAAAATGAAAGCAATAATCAATGTACTGTACTATAAAATAAATAAGACAGTATTGTAGATAATAAAAATTAGAATTATTATTTTTTTCTTACCTGCACTGATGATAGTCATGGGGGGGGGGGCTTTTATCCATTTCTGCAGTCACACAGTCAATCAGCAGCTGAACTGGGTTCCACACAGTCACAAAAACAAATTAACCAAAAAAGCCTCAAAAACGCAAAATAAATAGCAAAAACAAAAGTGCTAAACTTAATCCATTCCAGAAGTCTGTTTGACTTCTGAAATGTTCGAAAACCAAGGTGCAGCTTCTGATTGGTGCAGGCGCCCCAGAAACAATAGCCGACAGCAGCATCGGATGTTCAGCTTCCGAAAACATTCAAAAACCGTAACACTTACCTCCGGGTTTTCAGCGTTTGGGAACCAAGGCATTTTAGAACCAAGGTACCACTGTATTTTGATTAAGTTGTGACGGCTATTGATATGTGAAGACTTCAGCCAGCTCAGGGGAAAGCTGGTTTAACTGTCACTGAGGGGAGTTGGCGATAGAACTCCCACAAGCAACGGAAAGGAGAGGAGAAGCACGCATCCTGATTGGTGGCTGCAGGCTTAGACTTCTTAGTCAGATGGTGTGATTGGTTGAGGCTAGGCTGAGGGTGGGGCAAAAGAAGTGAATATATATGCTGGGTGCTGGTCAGTCGTGGTCAGTATGTAGTGGCTGGTGCTTGTGGTGGGCAGCCAGGAGGAGGGGGAAGTGAGAGGACTGAGGAAGAAGAAAGAAGACATGAGAGAGGAAGGCAGAGTGGCTCACTTGCCCAAGACTTGCTTTGGTAGCCAAACCACTTGGCTCTGACTTAAGACAAGAGGGGGAAACCTGCTAAAAGGCTTGAGGGAGAAGAATTGAGAGGCAGTTTGGAATGTTGGGCTCTTTGGTGCCTGGTAAGAGACACAAAGAACATTCCGGAACAGGGCAGCCAAAGCAGAGCTGCGCTTTGATAGGTCAGTAGGGATTGAAACAGGGGCTTCCAACAAAAAAAGTCATCAGCTATAGTGTTGGTGAGGTTTACCCAGGGTTAAGTACATACAAAAGTGTTTTAACAGGGTAACTAACTAACCCACCTACTCTCAGCAGCCAAAAACATCATAGCCAGACACTGGAGAGACCTGTCAGGCGTAAGCATGGACCAATGGTACCAAATAGTATGGGAAACAGCCTTATTAGAAAAACTAACCAATAATCTGAAACTGACACGGGGACAAATGGAAGAAGATGCCTTCACTCCGGTATGGCTCCCCTTTATGACACACACACACACACAGCCCAACAAGACAGCAACAAGAATCCACCAACAGCATACGAATGAATATGGCTAAGCTGATTCAAGCACACACACACACCCCATTTGCATATGAAAACAAAGTTCACCACAGCCAATCACAAACAAGCAACCACACCCTGGGCCAACCCCAACCTCTCTCACCACCGAAGGAAGACAGTGAATAGTAAAGAGAACCTGCACAAGCGATGCTGACACAAAACCCCACAGTACATTAAGTAGAATACAAACATTGGGACACCTGATCCCACTCCCATCACCATGGCCCCCTCCACCTCTCCCCCCCTTTTCTTCCTAATGTAACACTAATGTCTCAACAAATGAAACTGATCTGTAGAAAAGGTAACTTGAAAAAAGAGACATTGCACACACTTTTGTAAACAAAGAAATCTTTATTATTATTGTTAACAACAACAACAACAACAACAACAACGTAACTAACAGCTTCCTCAAAGCTGTCTTGGTTTAGTCATAGAAGTGTAAAATGAGTGGCTGGTATTTGAAGTGACAACAGCAGGTTAACAGAGTGTGTGTCCGTTTAAAGAGACAGGCGCATATCGTAAGCTTGTGCACTGCTACATAACCTTGTCATCAATAGACAAGAATGTAATAGACAAGAATGTAGAATGTATTTTTTTAAAATATAGTAACTATATCTGACAGGCTTTGTACCATGCCTACACGCCACAATTACTAGGGTACAGGGTAAGTTAAGGGTGCAAAGTATATAAGTGATAATATATGGTGGCAGTGGTATAAGTTGCCTTGCCACAGACTCGAAGATAGTTTTCACACCCAATCTGAAGTGCTGTGTTTTTTAACCCTTAAAACCCTAAACTTTAAAGCTGCGGTCCTCCAGATGTGGCTGGATTGTGACTCCCATCATCCCTGATCACTGCCCATACTTGCTGGAGATGCCTTAAACTGCCTGGATTCAGGGTACCATAAGGATCATTTAATTCCATATGCACCCATTTATGTGTTGAGATTTCCCTCAGAGGCCCTACTGGATGTGCTGCCCCACCCACATATATGGTGGGTGGCAATATGGGAGAAGGTCTTTTCTGTGGTGACTCCAAAGCTGTGAAACTCACTCCCTAATTTGCCTTGTTCTACGGTAATGAATTTTAGGCACCAGGCCAAGGTGACCCTATTTTCAGAATGCTCTTGGGCTCCTGATTACCTCCTTTTCTCAATTCTATTGCTCTGATCAATTTTGCTAGTCATGAGAAACTATGGGTTTGTTTGTTTGGTTTTATATAAAAAAGAATGTATGTGTTTATCATATTTTATATCATTTTCATATGCTTTGTTAGAGATTTACTTTTAAAGGCAGTGTGCAAATATTAGTCAAATATTATTATAAATAATAACATAATTTGGTAAGGCTGTGCATAAGGAAACTAATTAGCTTCCTTCTCATTCATTGCAACTTTGCAGGAATCTTTTCAATATAGTTGAACTATGTTTAGATGCTTCATTCTGCAACTTCATTTGTGAAAAGCTAGTTGCCTAGGAGATTTGACCTTCATTCTGCTCATCCCAGCAAACATTAGCTGTTGATAAATCTGTCACCCACGAATTTGTCTAATCCAGGAGTGGCAAACCTTTTGCCCTCCAGATGCTGCTATACTACAACTCCCATCATCCTTGACTTGGGCCATGCTGTCTGAGCCTGGGGCTGACCATATTCAGAGCAAGCTAGTGACCATTGCAACACATTGTAGAAGCAAATTCTATAAGTTAATGATGTGTATCATTTATCACAGCAGTTTGTGTGCTTCTTTTCCTTCTTTGCTGTGTGTCCTGTCAGTTGACAGAGAAGCCTCTACTACAAAATATGAACTCACATGCAGTTGTTAATGCATACATTAACATATTTTTTTCCACCCTAACTTCTAACTCCTCTTTCAAAAGCTGTTCTTTGCAAGCTGAACGTTAGCATCCATTTCCTCGCAGCTATTGCTTCCTTTGTTACTTCCACTGAGTCTTCAAACTGGGAAAGCTGTGACAGAGATATTATGCTAGCCTGCAATTCCTGTTTTACATTTTCCTGACAAGTGATAATTCAATTTCTGAGCCAACACAAAGTGTTCACATTATCAAGGGCTGTATCTCTATCTTAATGATTTGACCATTCATGTGAATAATGTTCCAGTAAGTGAGATAGCGTTGCTTGGAACTCATAATGGCACTGCTGATGTTCTTCCTTCCTGTCTTCCGTTTAAGGGTTGAATCATTTCATTGCTTTCACACCGCCTTTCACATTACTGTATATTACAGTACAATAGTTCAGTTTGATTTGTGTGCAAAATATGTGTTATCTTTTTTTTTTTTCCTCCAGGGAAATTCAGCGTGAGTCTGGCATATGGAATGTTGCCATTGGACCTGGAGGACACCCATGCTTCAAAAACAGCACACATGAAGCTCAGGACTTTGCTAGTCTCTCCGGTGAAAAGAGGTATGGCACAAATCTTCTCCATCACACAAATAATGCCACGTGACACAGATGTTCCACATGGATGTCTGACTGTACAGATAACCAATTCATTTGAATCTTTCCCCTTAAGAAAAGCTGAGTAGGCCACACAAATTGATTACCTGTATGGAGGATTTGATTCCCATTTGACATGTTTTGCACTGTAGAGGGGAGTACCGGTAATTTGAAGCCTAGGGATGACAGGATTTCCCAATTTCGGTTCTGTCAGTTTATCATTTTTTTCGTTCTTAAATTCAAATCTCTGCATTTCTGCAGCAATTTGCATTAAAAAAAAAACATTGTGAAAATTCACTAGCATTTTAGTGTAATTTTCTCCCAATAATGCATTTTTTTCCTAATATACACATCTCTGCAAGCAATTTAACTTAATATAATGCATATTTGTGTGTGTGTGTTAGATATTTTCACCAATACATTCATTTTTAATCCACATTTCTCCCCAGGATATGCATTTTTGTGAACACTGGTTGGTTGGAGAACCTCATGACAAAACTGGGTAAGTGCAAATATTGAAGGTTGGCTGTGTTTTATTTTTATATTGCTTTGGAAAGTGTAGATTTCATCATTCCCACCCCCTTTAAGTGGAAACAGAATCAAATTTCACCCCCACCCTAGTCCAAGCTCTAGTCACAGATTCACAGGGTGATCTCTGTAAAGTCACTATCAGTAATATTGGTGTAAATGAGTTCATTCAAAGGATCATCTCAGAATGCTGTTTTATACACATTAGATTATTTGTCCACATAGCTCAGTATTTTTTACTCTAGCAGTGGCTACCCAGGTTCTCAGAGGCTGCATGAATTGAACCTGGGAACTTCTGCATACAATGCATGTGTTCTACTGCTCCAAAAAGTTCTTTATGTCACATCGTGGTAACTGTTGGAATTCCTGCTCCATGGTTGCAGTCATAGGATTTTTGTCTATCACATGACGGTATATGTTTTGACTCCACAGAGTGGGAAGTAATGAAGACAGGATGTTTGTGTTACTGTGTTCCATGAAGTGGGACTATTGTTCTTTGTTCTTTTTCTCTTGGCTGTCTGATGCTAGAGAGAGAGGGAGCCATGTTGCAGTGCTCCGTGTGTGTTTATTTGTAAATAAAGTTGATTAGCCAAAATGCTGAGTTGCTGGGGTTCTGTCATGCATGGTGCGAAGACTCTGCGGATTCCTAAGTGTGCCGGTGTCGGTTGGCATTGGTCACTGTGATGTTCAGGCTGAAGAAAGCTTATGAAACTCCCAAACGATCGACCAGGAGGGAGGGAACATGCCAGTCGGGCATGTGTCTCTGCCAGGGTCCTACTCGAGTGTAAGCTGAACTCCTGACAGTAACAACATTGAGAAAAGTAATGACTATGAAGGGGAGAGTTGGTTCCATGTGCTGTTACAAATGGTTCGTTCATCCAGCACAATCATTTTGCATAACTTGATGTCATTAGATATGTTTCTGAGCTTTTCTTTCCCCCTTTTTTATGTGATCTCCCATTTGTTCTCTTACATTAGTCACTGTACAAAATCCTCAGCTTTATGCTAAACTCACAAACATTTACCCCCATATCAGCCTCAATGGAAGAAAGACCTTTATAAAAACTCAGCATTTTCCCACTTCCCCTAACTTTGTGTGCAAGTGGCAATGTTAAAAGGTAATTTGTTTGGATTAGTAGTTGGATCAATAGGTGTAGTGGTTAAGAGTGATAGGCTCGTAATCTGGAGAACCGGGTTCGCGTCTCTGCTCCTCCACATGCAGCTGCTGGGTGACCTTGGGCCAGTCACACTTCTTTGAAGTCTCTCAGCCCCACTCACCTCACAGAGTGGTTGTTGTGGGGGAGGAAGGGAAAGGAGAATGTTAGCCGCTTTGAGACTCCTTCGGGTAGTGATAAAGTGGGATATCAAATCCAAACTCCTTGTTCATACAGGTGGATGCCATTCTTTGTATGGAGAAGATACTCATATCCATTTCTACAATGTACTTAATCCCGTGTTAAGGAGATTGTGTTTATTCTATGTCTGTGCAATGCAGAATTAACACAGAATGCCTTTCTCACACACATGACAATCTGTGTGTGGAAGGTAGATGCTCAGTCTTCTACCACATAAAGGGCAACATGGCGAGCGTATATGCCAGGCCTCTCAAATGGAGATAGAAAAAAGAGATGGGTTAATTTACAAACACCTCAAATAAGTGCAGAGCCTATAAAATAAAATGGAGAAAAAATGGAAGGAGGAAGATTTTTTTAATTTTTTTTTTTAAAAAAGAAGCTCATAACCAGATCAATATGGCAAAAAGCTAATCTTAGGGATTGAGCTTTATCAATAAAGTTGCAGAAACCACTTGTTCATGTGATAAATTATTGGCAGTAAAAATATAGAGCTTGCCTTTTTTTGGCCTTAAATGACCGAGGCCTCAAATATCTGATAGATCGCCTCCTTCCCTGCTGACCCTCTTGGGCATTTAGATCAGCAGAAGGGAGCCTTTTGTTAGCTCTGCCACCCTCTATGGCAGAATGGCACCCTGGGAGAGGGTATTGACTATGACAGAGCCTAAGCTGGGGAGCTCCCTCCTCATAGAGATGTATCCAACACCTTCACTATACAGTTTTGTCTGAACCTCTTTACCCTGCCTGTTGGCACTAAAGATGTATATTTTTAGGATCCACTCTGTTCTTGTGGTGGTTATTTGTTTTAAAATGTTGCATTGTCGTGACCCACCTGGGGACCTTGGGGTAAAGAGCATAACATAAATACAGTTGCAGGATGGAATTCAATGTAGCGCTGAAGAGGTCGTGACATCGGAGCAAGCATATCTGCTTGTCCAGTGGGATGATCTCCCCCCAATTTCTCTGCCCATGATGAACTTTGAGAGGCCACCTGTGCACAAGTTTAACTCGGAGCTTCCTGAAAAGCTGTAAACTGTTCCTGAGCTTTCAGCAGTAATTTATTTACCGTAATACTGGTCAAGTGTGAACAGTGCGGTAGTCATAGTAAGAGTACATCAAGCAGTAAGTTCCCAGTGGAAGTGCACCGTTGTCATGGCAGACTATGATGATGGAATACAACAGAGTGTTGAGGAGAGAGCGTGACGACAGGAGAACGTTGGGAACTGGCTATTATAGAGAGATTCTTTTCATGATGTATGCATAATATCAATGGCATGTCGATGTTTTCATAGCGCTTTTCCTGCCATCACGTTTTGAGTCTCAAGCACTACAACGAAACATTTTTTAACTTGCTTAACGGTATGTCTGTGTTTGCAAAAAAAAGAAGCCGAGATATTCGCACGGCGGAAAAACCATGAAGACAGTGAAAATTGCCTGTGACAACTACAAATGTATGGAAATTCAGGAGGTGATGCTTCGCAGCCATTGCAAAGAATAGCACAGAAATGGCAAAATGTTTCACCCCGGAGCAAAGACATGGATGCCCATGAAAATCTCAGTGTTTACACATGACTAATCGCAAAGCAAAGACCAGCAGAGCTGTTCCAGGGGATGCTAGTCAGATGATGAGCTAAAAGGGTGGGGCGCACCAAACATGTGACATTTGCCAAAAGAGAAGATGGAAATATTTCTCAGACTATTTCTAGCGCAAGCATTCACGACTAAAACAGAATGATACAATTAGATGGAACTGGCTCTCTGTAATACACTCCTTTTACATTGCTGACTCCGACAATTTCTTGCTGTGGAAACATCTATTTGCACTTTCAGTTCAATTACATTTGGTATTAAATGCATACTTTAGGGGAGCATTACCTTACTATCACTTTTCAACTTGACGTAGGGAAAGGGCATATTTGCTAATTTCTACTGTGTACCAATAGTTCGAGGGTCATCAAGGTGCTGCCCTCCTCCTATTGCCAGGACTCCAGCTCTAAGCAGCCCCAATAGTCAGGAATGATAAGAACTATAATCTAAAGGGCACCATGTAGAAGTTAGGCGCTAAGATGATGATGTGACCAGCAGCCAATAACTTGGACTCTTTTTTAAATTTTTAACTTTTGCTATCGACCCTTTTATCTACCACCTTTCCCCCTCTTTTTCTCAAGGCTGAACTTTAGAGGACAACAGGGTAACTTTCTTTCTGAATTTTAAAACCTAAAGTTTTTCCTGTGACTCTTACCTCCTCCGTTTGGCTCACTTGTTTTTACTTATGTGGGAGACATGGATGCAAGAAGGCAACTAACTAATACAAATCTATATTATACCTCTGCAAAGAAGAAGATATAGAGGGAAAGTGGGTTATAAAGGCAACTACTGTTGTCCCTTCAATGGGTCAGTATTAGGAAGGGAGTTATGTGTTCTAGGACAAAGCTGGGAGCCTAAAGGGACAATCCTATTCTTGAGGATTCATTGTAGGTCCCATTACTCTAGTGCAGGCTTCCTCAACCTCGACCCTCCAGATGTTTTTGACCTACAACTCCCATGATTCCTAGCTGGCAGGACCAGTGGTCAGGGATGATGGGAATTGTAGTCTCAAAACTACCTAGGTTGAGAAAGCCTTCTCTAGTGGAATATAAGTTATGCCGCCACCATGGCAGAGTAACATTAGGATTCAAACATTGCTTGCATAAATACCTAGAGACTAAAAGTAGCAGATTTTTTGCTGGTTGTGCCACTGGAGCTTAAGTTTGTTTGCCTATTATATGTTATTTACAGGTTTTATTACTTATGATTTATGCAGCTCTTTAAAATAGCTTAATTTCATTCCTGAAAATGCTTTTGCATTCATTATATGTGTATATGCCAAACAGCACATTCATGCAACAGTGACCACTGAAGGAAAAGTTCTGGTCAAAATGCATTTGGTTTTTTTTAGATTTATGTGATAAAGCTTTTTTGTTACAGCACTGTATTTCAGCATTACAGCACTGTATTTCATTTTTTTGTGATCCCAGTTTGCTTGTTATCATTGTATGTGTTGTGTTGGGATAAACATCCTTTGTCTAGGCATTCAAGAAAAATCAGCAAGCACCATGTTTTGTGGGCAATGGGATTAGACACTTTCCCAGGGAGTTGGAGGAAACAGAAAATCTCTTGACTGCAAACTCCTGAAAGCAACTTGTATAAATACAGTACACACACACAACAATTACTATCCCTATGGCATACATTTCTTTTATTATTTTTAAATTATTAGTTAAATTTATATGCCACCCTTCATCAAAAGACCACAGTGTGGTTTACAACATAGAACACACATGCGGTTAAGTAGCATAGTATCTACACAACATAAAAATCAGAACAATTATATATGTACAATTCTAATACAGGCGACAATTGATTTACAATGTGTCCAATTGATGTGCAACTACACTCTCGTGGTGAGCCGGAAGTGGCTGGAAAAGGGGGCAGAATGGGTTTATGGGTGTTTATGCGTGCTCCACCGTCACGTGAGATGACCCAGAATGCAACCTCCACCCAAATCAGGGGTTGCCTATAATGTGAAAAAATAAAATATGTATAACATGAAGCGTCTGTAACCCGAGATACAACAACAACAGTGAAAAAAATAGAGAAAATCAGCAGGAGGGTATCTCAAATACAAAAATAGTGCACAAATGTAGACTGTTCTCTCTACCCAAAGACAGCTCTTAATCCCAGCCTCTACAGAAAATGATGGACCTTCCCAGCTCTCACTTGGGAGCTTTCCTTTCCTCTCCCAGTCTCTCACCTTGGGCTATCTTCACTTCCCTGCCTCTTACTTGGGGCCGTTCCATCAACTACCTGCCACTTTGACATGGGAGAACTCACTGGCCATTGATGGCATTTCAAGAAGATGGCAACCGAGGGGTAATCTCCCTGTGGTGTCTCCCCCTTGTGGTGACTCCCATCGGCATTGGCCCATTACCAATTGGCTCCCTGCCTGCACTTTGCCTGACTTCTCTCCCTGCACAGAAATTGGCTGAGTGGCTGTACATAGTTATAAAATCCCTGCCCTGCATGTGCTTGGGTTGTGTGATGCTTTCGATCCATTCCAACTTACAATTCTTCTTCCAGCATTTTTTTTTCCATTGTGGGGGGAAAAAAAGAGGCCTGTCTTTTCACAAAGGGTAGCATTTTGATATCATCCCTCTGAAAGAAAGAAATACCTGGCTGAGGAACTGGGAGGAGGAGAATCTTTATGTTCGCTGTCAAATCACATGTCTGCTGCAGCGAAGCATAATGACACCTCCCTCCCTCCGCTTTCATCATAAGCATTTCACATTCCTCCTGCATGCAGGTACGTGTGAGTGCACAGTTGAGGCTGTGACAGCTGCAAGGACTCTGAAGGGGCCTAAACTGATTGAAACATCACTCTCCCCTCAGTTCATTATTCTGGCTTGTTTTGTTAGAACTGTAGCGCTGCATAAAGGAATCACATGCCTGCGCGCTGGTGAAATAAAAATGTTTGTCATGAACTCGCAAGTGAACTAATATCTCTGCAGAAACATATTACCTCTGGTTCAGACAGCTACAGTAGAAGCAAAGGCAGGGAAATTCCCATTTGCCGAAGTCACTTGACTTGAATTACCCACCATTCAAAAGCAGCTTTCTTTGCCTTTTCCTGGGGTATTTACTACAGACAGTGATGGACAGAAACGACTCAATACCCACGGGCCCAGAATCTTTTCAAGAGGCCCTTCCATTCGAAGGCTCTCAAGAAGTGCCAGTGGAGACCTTGGATGCTCAGCTGGGCCTTATGCCAGTGACACCAGCTTGTCTGGTTTGAAAAAAGAGAAACCAAAGGGACCATTAGGAGCTAGTGTCATGATGTGGCTGAAAGGCTAACATCTGACCAAAGAAGTCCCTGGTTCAAATCCTGCCTGCACTATGAACCCTGGCCATGATTCTTGCAATGATTTCTACAATTACAGGAGCCCTGCGCTCTCCTGGGACACTGTTTGGGGCAACTGTAGGAGCCCCTGAAAGAACTACAGCAACCATAGCCCCTGCTTCCTATCAGGCTGGTGAGACAGATGCGAAGGGAGGAGGAAACCTGTCCCACCTTTGTTTCTGACTGTCCCAAAGCACTGCCAAGCAAAGGGAAGGCTGTGCATTCAAGCGAGTTCCTGGTGAATTGGATGAAGGCTTTGGGGAGTTGGACAGTTATTGGGTCATGATTAAAATGCATCTTGTATCAAAAACATGATTTTAGTAAGTTGGCAAACCCTAGTAAGCAGAAGACCAGGGCCAAATTATGTATCTGGCAACCTGGTACAGTGGTACCTTGGGTTAAGAACTTAATTCATTCTGGAGGTCTGTTCTTAACCTGAAACTGTTCTTAACCTGAGGTACCACTTTAGCTAATGGGGCCTCCCGCTGCTGCCGCCGCCACCACATGATTTCTGTTCTCATCCTGAAGCAAAGTTCTTAACCCAAGATACTATTTCTGGGTTAGTGGAGTCTGTAACCTGAAGCGTCTGTAACCTGAAGCATCTGTAACCTGAGGTACCACTGTAATTTAATGTTTATTAGAAATGTTTCACATATAATGCTTTTCAAATATTTATCAAACCTCCCAAATCCTACACTATCCTTTCATTATTAGTAAATATGTGTTTTGAAGCTCAGCATTTGACAGAACACATTCAGCCCTGAAGTTTTCATTTACTTCTAAATAATTTAAGTCTTAGTGACTGCATAGGAACCAGAACAGAACCCGTTACATTTGTGTTTGTGTGTGGAAGATGTTCCCATGCATGTGGAGAGAACAGTACCAAAACAATTCAAACATAGATCTTGGAAGAGAAGAATGCTGTTTTCAGAAGCTGATTGGATTTCTGAATTCTATTGGAAATAACTTTTGCTAAGCAAGAAACTTTGCTATAAAACAGTCCTCTCTCAGTGGCAATTTGAAGAACCAATTCACAAAAAAGGATTCCAAATTGGGAGTATTTACACAGCAGAAATTTCAAAGGGCATCAAAAAATGTGTGTCCTTGGGTTCTGCACTCTGGTGAGGTCAGAGCATGGGCACTAAAATAGGACGTCTGGGATTGGGATCAGAAGCCAAGGCAGCTTCTGTAAATCTGGGATATACTGCTTAAAATGGGACAGTTGCACAGTATGCTATCGTTTAAAACTTCTTTTAAAAAAAGAAGAAAAGGGGGGATTTCTGCATTCTATACAGCACAATCGACAACTGAATAGAACATCTTATTTAGTATCAATATAAACACTATGCATAAGAATCAGCTACAAAAATACAATAAATAACAATAATCAATATATTAAACAGCTAAACATATTATTAAAACATATATTAAACAGCTAAACAAAATGCCCTCGAAGCATCAGGAACTAAAATATAAATTCAACCTTTTAACATAACATGGTAAACAATTAGGCAAAAGAAAATCAACTCACTTCCCAACCAGCACACATCAATCAATCATACTGTTGCACAAACCAATCCAATTATATAGCAACTTAATGTAACTGCAGCTTAATATAACTACAGCTAGAAATACGTACTCTTCATCTCCACTCAAGCACACTGTTACATGATCGACGCACATCAAACAGAGGAAAACATTAAACCAATATACTCAAACTGACTATTTTATCACACCTTCAGACCACAAGCTCCACACTGCAAGCACTCACATAATTTAATTTTGCATCCTCAATCAACAATCCACTTGATGCCATTAGAACCAGCCAAATCTGGATAAATACAAGCAAGCAACACTATGCAATCAACCCCTAGATAAAACATTTATACAGAGCTACAATTCCCAGATGAGGGACACGGGTGGCACTGTGGGTTAAACCACAGAGCCTAGGACTTGCCGATCAGAAGGTTCGAATCCCCACGATGGGTTGAGCTCCCATTGCTCGGTCCCTGCTCCTTCCAACCTAGCAGTTTGAAAGCACGTCAAAGTGCAAGTAGATAAATAGGTACCACTCTGGTGTACGCTGCTCTGGTTAACCAGAAGTGGCTTAGTCATGCTGGCCACATGACCCGGAAGCTGTATGCTGGCTCCCTCAGCCAGTAAAGCGAGATGAGTGCCACAACCCCAGAGTCGGCCACGACTGGACCTAATGGTCAGGGGTCCCTTTAACTTTACCTTACAATTCCCAGAGTTCCCAGGGAAGAAGGACTGGTGGTTAAAGTAATCTAAAAATTGCAGCTCTGGGAGGGGAATAAGAATCTCCTGAGAACTGTCAGAACCCTTAATGAACTACAGTACCCAGGATTCTTTGGGGGAAGCTGTTTAAGGTGATATAATAGTGGTTTGAACAGGTGGTGCAGGTGGAGTGACAGTTATAGAGTCAGGTTGCCAATTGTCCCTGCCTCCTTTGCAGCACATGGATGGCGTTACACTGGAAGAATTGACAAAGTGTAAGGCTCTGATCCTTGCTTCACCAGGGGACTCACTGGGGTGACCAAACTCACAAGGCTGTAAGCAAGGTGAAATTGGACAACTTTCAGCACCAGCTTTGTGCTCCCCTGGAGGAAGAGCAAACCACAAATGTGATAAGTTAGTCTTGTTTAGTCCCTCCTCTCAGCCATGATTACCATCCTACTTGGGAAAGTAAAGGGGTGAGCATCCCCCACTTCCACATCCCTATCACTATTCCTGCCCCTCCATGTGTGTTTGGGAGCTGAACATCTGCTTTTTCAGGGTTCTGAATCAAGCAGGAAGGCTATTAACGAAAAACAGCCCTCCCCCCATTATGGATGGGAAATCTGCCAATTCTGCTTTCTCATTTCCCCAAAATTATTTGCATTTCTGCATCAGTCTGTAACTTTTAGAAACTCACAAAAAATTACCGGCATGTTAGTGCCCTTTCTTCCTTTGCAAGCAATTTCCCCCTTCTCCTGTGCATTTTTTGTATATTATTTCCACTAATAATATTCCTTTTTAATGAACACTTTTTCCCAATATACACATTCTTGCACACAATATTTTTGGTTGGAGACTGAAAAGCACAGCAAATTTAAAAGCACAGCTATGATTCTGTTCATACATTGTTACAGGAAGTGCAAATTAGGTAGATTAGTGATAAAACTGACTTGAATTCTTCCCCTCCCCATCCCTTGTCCCTATTGCAGAAGCTTAGTCCCCCAATACAACAATAAGGAGTTATGGGAGGGACCAACATGCCCAAGGCTGCTCTACCTGTCTCCCACATTATTATAGTGGGGAGGGGGGCTAAATACAGATGAATGAAGAAATATGCCACTGAAACTAGCCAGCTAATCCACAGGATAAAAATGCCAACCCCTCTGAGCAAGAGTGGAAGCCCCCCTATCTCCCATGTGAAGAAACTTCCCTTCACAGTCAGTTCCTTTGCTTCACAGACACATTTTCATTTAATGCTATTTTCAAACACTTTGAGCTATTTTGCAATGAAGGATAAATATAAAAGGAAGTCGGGGCATTATTTATACCAAGGAGCACAGCTTGTGGTCCATTACAAAGCATTTAATTTGGGGATGAAATATAATGGATTGAGGGAGTTTTCCCCTGAAAGGTTTGTCTGCCTTTAACCATTCTTGAGCATCATTGCTTGTGGTATTATGGACTCATTCAGTAGCTGAGGTGTGAGGATGGGGAAGGGGAGCTTAATACAGATAATACCATTTTAGAAAAAAAAATTGCAGAGCACTCAAGGATAGCACTGCATATATATATATATATATATATATATATATATATATATATATGGGGCAGTGCTGAAAAGTAGGTATCTACTGAACTTGGTCTGAGAGCACCGTGCAGAGTGGAACTCTGTAGGTGTCCATGCAGCAAGCCTGCTCTTGTGATTAATTTAACAATGGGTCACATCTGTGCCTGAATACACAAGAGCACAGGACAGGTTCTGTCTGTCCAAAAGGTATCAAGCTATCTACCTGGCTTACATGACATGACATGTTATTGGCTCAAAACAGCCAGCGTGTCGATCAAGTCCCGCCTGGGTCCAAAATCCCTTAAAAGTGAACCGTGGCCATACAATCTTTGCCCCTCAAAATGCTTCAAAATTGCTCCTCTCAACTGACCAGTAACGCTGATACCTTTGCACATGAGGAGATCTGAAGTCAGTTTGAAAGTAGATAATAATAGGATAGACAGACTTGAACTAAAACTTTTTTATGTTCTCGTTTTCTTAAAGCAACATTCTGCCTCTTTTTTAAAAAAAAATAATTTTTATTAACCGGCCAATCAAATCAAATCACATCACATAAATTCCGAATTACAAAGCCAAATTTTAAATTTTGTTGTTGAGGGGACCCATATTTCAAGATCCGAAGGGGGATTCTAATCATCTTCTTGCTACTGTTTTAATGTCCAAATCAGTCCAAATCAGTCCAAACAGAGTTCATAATTCTATCCAGTCTTATCTTGCTGTTTCCACATCACATCTTGTTCATATATTTTCTCTTTTTCTTTATGATCTCTTCTGATAGTCTCCTTAAGCCGATAAACACCAATAATAATCCTGTGTGAATTTTTCTGTTCTTCCAATCCTCAAATCGAGATGGTTTCCATATATCATCGCCTTCATAGATAACATCGCTCTTTCCATCATTAATTACAGAACTGTCGTTCTTAAGTCCCTCTGAGGAGTTTCACCCACAATATAAAAACAGCTCTATTTCTCTATTTCTCCTCCCAGACTTAAGTCCTCCGACAGAACTTCCCAATATGGCGACGGCATTTTTAACTGCGTCATTCCAAAGCCCTTATACATTCCACGCTCTTCTTAAAACATGCTTTGGTTCGAAAGTTTATCTCCACACAGCCTTAAATCCACAGCTTAAGTCCTTAAAACGACATTTCTGACTTGTGAGGGGAGGGAATTCTTGTTTAATCACATAAGGAAAGAAAGGAAAGTTTTCCCCCCCTCCCCCATCAGTCATCAGTCCCTTTACTGAGTCTTGGCGTATCTTCTCATAATCTATACTTGTTCCTCCGACTCGTCTTGTTTTATCTGAGATCTCTTCTGTTAGCAGTCTTTACTCCCCCTCCTTCCTAGAAATATGTGCATTCGCTTCATCCAAATTGTTTCTTTTGAAGTTCTTGCAGCTAGTGGCGCGGATCAGAGACGGCGTCCAGGAGCCCCGAAATCCCACAGGAGGGCTTTGTGCCTAGTGCCCCCATCCCCACAAATTCGGGGGTGGTATAGGGCACAGCAGGCAAGGGCAGCCCCCCCCATCCTGGGGGGGGGGTTAGGGAGGCTAATTACTCCCATCATAGCCTCCAAATTACCTCGTGTGGGTCGGAGAGATGTTATTGTCAGCCATCTTCTGATGCGCCCCCTAGTGGCCCCCATTCTGCCTCTTACTTTTTTCACCCTTCTTTCCTTTTAGTCTTAATAAACTTCCTACAATTTGGCTGTCGGAGCCCTGGCTCTGCTTCTACGAAACTCTCAGAGAACTCTAACCCTTCATGTGCCTCGTTACTTGGTTCAGGCTACACATGTGTAAGTTGGGGGTTGAAAGAGAAAAGCAGACCAAGCTGGTCTCTGGGGAGGGACAAGTAGGCTGGATGCTCTTTCTGCCTTCCTTCAGTTCCTTTTTTGGATCCCCAAATATCATTCTGGTTTTGGGGTAAAGGCAGCTAATGGTGCGTGGCGCAAGCCTACAGAAGTTTGGACATGATTGGTCTAACACAAGGCACACTCATAGGAGGAAAATAGCAAAAAGGTTACTTCCCTCCCCTTCCACCACAAATTACCACTCTAATTGCAGTGTTTGTTGTAAAATCAATGTTCTCTACTTTTGCTTCTGGCTATGGAAGCAAATTCAAAAATAATAATCATGTCCCAACAGCCAGCCAAAATAAAAGGTTAGTCTTCAAAGAGGGATAAGCACTAAGCTCAAAAAGCTCTATGGTCAACCTTCACCGCCTTCTGCTGCCTCTGCCCTTCTCCTCCCCTCGAGCAAAGCAATTTCAGTTTCATAATATAATGTTGCAACATTGTAATCCACAAACAGTGCACCATGAGGAATTAGTTAAATAGCTGAAGGCTCTTAGGAGCCCCAGTTGTCATCCATAGAGGAGGATGTCTACTGCATCCCTGTATGAGACAAGGTTCTGACCTCACCTCCTTCAATGCATCTTCCTTTTTGAGAAAGATTTGATTACATATTTGCAGCAACTGCCAAACATTTCCAATGCAGAGATGAAACCCACTTACTTGCCCTCAGTGAAGCTGACCCCCAAACTGTAACGCATCTAGGGACATAATAGAGAGGCTTGCCAACTTCCACTGCCAAGGAACTGCGGGAATAGGAATATTAACAAGTATAAGGAAGACCCTATTTTAGTGTTGAAATGTTGGAAGGTCTATGCTAGTTTGGGATTCATTTGCACCAAACAGTTCCTGCTCATAGAAAAATAATCTCATCTCCTCCAGTTCCTTGTTTCAGAAAAGGGTGCCAGATAGTATGAATAATGGTAATACAAACCTAAGCCCGTCACTGATTTATCTGACTAGTTTTCCTCCAGAGCTACTTACTAGGACAACACTGAATTGTGCAAACATTTAATCAGGCTATGCCTAATATCCCCCTACACAACAACGATGCCTACATAACAATTTTGTATCCTTGATTGTGGCACCTCTTTGTTCCTGGTTCCCCTGGAATACAAGGCATACTCAGTTATTGAGCACAGATTATATTACATCAAATAATACCTGGGAGCTCAGTGGTAATCATGAATATACTGTAGATGTTGACCTAAAGTCTCCCACAAATCCAGGACAATAGTTTCAAGCCAACTGTTGCTCTAGATCTGCCATTCTATGGGCTGAGTTATAAGAACAGCTAGATGATGAAGTTATTCTGTTTGCTCTACATTTTACGTCAAAACCTTTCCATCAACATCCATGTTCATTATTACCTCTGATGAAGAACCTTATAGCACTTTCTGCAATTAATATACCTCAGCCCTCAGCTACCAACTACATTTTGTCTTCCAGATTGCTTGACTCAGAACTTTTTGGCATATCCTTGTGCTTAATTGCATTCAGTCCTTTGTGGCTTTTGCCCTTTCTGTCCTCTGTCTTGATCCTGCACAGGTCTCCACACCTGATATTCCTTGCTCCAGGATAATTTGATTGATTTGACATCTAGATCTTGAGTCCTGTACAAAGCTAATTTCATTTCCCCAGCATGAAATCTGGGCCTGTTTGACAAACCTCATGTGGCCTGCTTGAATGTTCATATTTCCTGATCTTTCAAAATAAACCAGTTTCTGATATCCCAATTAATAGTAATAATGCTTGACATCTTTTGGAATGACATTAGAATATTGACGGCTCTTCATGCATGTCTTGATAATCTTTCCAAGGCAGGTCAATATTATATCCCCATATTGCAGATGGAAGGCTAAAGGTTACTAATTTGCTTTAAGCGATCCATCAAATTCACAAATGGAGGAGATTTGAAGTATGGCTCACAATCCTGGCTTACATTTTTAGTCACTACACTACACTACACTACACTACACTACACTACACTACACTTCACTACACTACATCAAGGACTTCACACATTCATGTTCATCACTTGATGATTGGAACAACTGCTATGTGTGAACACGTTGTCAGATATAAGATGGACTTTCATATCACATTCATACAATGCAGTTAACACACTCAGCTGCCAGTCAGCAACTGCAGTGCCTGCGTGTCTGACACACACAAACACACACCAACTATAGTTACCACACTATATAAATGTAGCAAACAGGTACGCAACTTGTGGCCTTCCAAATGCTGCTAAACTACAATACTCATCATCTTTGATTACTGGCCATGCTGGCTGGGCATGATAGGAATTGTAGTTCAGCAATATCTGGAGCGCCACAAGTCCCCCGCCCCCATCCCTGATATAGTGCCTACTGGTCCTGATATCACAATAAATGCTTCTCAGCCATATGGGGAGCCAGATGTTAGCAGTTTACACCAACTGAAGCTATGTCCTGCCCTCTTCTCAAAATGAATTGCATAACATGGATTGGCAAATCCAGTCTTTGTGAATTTCAAATGAACTAACTTGCTCTGTTTGGACTAATGTGCATTTCAGAACTTTGTTATCCACTGGTTTCCACCTTTCCAGAATTTCCAATATGTATTTCACAAGAGAATGTGTTTTAAAATACATGTTTTAATATGTTTTAAAATTCAGATTTTAAGAAAGTAAATTGCAGATTAATCCAGTAATAGGACAGAGCAGATTTGTGTGTGATCACATATGAAAGTCACACAGACTGGAAATAGACTGATTTGCCTCTCCTAAGAATTATACAGCTTGGCTCTGCAGACTCAACAGAAGGCAAATTTTCTTGAAATATTTGGCATGCCTCCTGACCTAGTCAAGCAGAGTTCTCAAAACAAAACCACACCATTAAATAATTCAGCCCCCCAACATTTTCCGAGGCAGGCTGAGGATTTCAAATGAGGTCTTTGAATAATAAGTCAAGACCCAAAGGAAGTAAATGTGAAGGAATGAGTCCAATTCCAGTGCTGAGGAAATATTTCCAAATTAAAATACTTTTTTGATAGGACTGGGAGCAAGTCCATAGTTATTGCCAGCAGCAGGGAATGAAAACATCAATTCTACATATCACCAAGAGTGGAAGCTCACATACCAGCTACATTAGAAAGCTCTAGTAACTCCAAGAGAAAGTATGTGCTGCATATGTGTCCAGAAAAATGTAATTTTATAACCTATTCAGAATCTTAGAACCTATTAAGAAGCCATGCACACACCGTCAGCATTATATTATACAAAGTTATACATTGATATTTTCTAGGTTTGCTAATGGGGGGAGGGATCTTCTGCTATTCAATAGTATGTATGTAATGCAGAATATACTAAGACTAGGATGTCGGACAACAACTCCCATCATTCCTAGCCATCATGACCAATGTTCAGAAACTATGGAAGCTGTAATCCAGCAAGCATATGAATGGCAACACAATTCCCCCTCCTGCCTGTCTAGAACTATAAAATCTTACATTTTATAAGAGATAAAACCAATGTTACATCATTATGACTTCTTGTTTACCAAGTTAGCAGTTATTTATTTATTTAACCAAATCAATATACCACTTACTAGAAGAAAAGATCTCTAAACTGTTTGGTTTTTTTAATGGATTTTGCCAAGGTGCTGCTGGGTCAGGGTAGTTGATTAAATTTATCCTGAGGAAGTAGGGTTGTTAGGAATGAAATGTGTCTACTCCCAAAAAATCACAAAATGAGCCTTCATAAATTTTGAAGATTTTCTGAACCAACAAATATTGTGCTGAAGGTCACCAAATATCATTGGGCATGTGAAAATGTTTGGCTATATACTCTCAAGGTTCACTTGCTCCCATACAAAATTGCTGGGGGGGGGGATTTCTTTGAGGGTATTCCCAACAACTGTAGGGAGGTAGATGGTGACCAAAAACTTTATCTTTCGTGTTGTAATGGTTTAACATTGGAATATCCTCCTAATATCAATCACCCGACACAAATTCTTACGAGTTTTAGTTACCAGATAGCACACTTAGTGGCCCAGGGTGTGGGTTGTGTGTGCATGTGTGTTTTAACATGCTTTTGCTGTAACATCTACTTAGCTTATTTGCTGCTTTCAGTACAATTCTGACGGCTGTTTTTCCTTAACTAGCGCTGTATTTTTAAATTGCCTTAATGTTACATTTGTTAGCCACCTTGACTTTTTTCCTATTATTAGCTAGTGTGTATATATAAAAGTTGACATGAAATGCTATTTGGTATTTGATCATGGACATGCAATGGTACTTTAGATTTCATTGTAATTGTTGACTGGCATGTAGTTATAGTATGCAGTATTCAGCTACATTTGGCATGCAAAGCTGTATCTGATAGAATACAGTGGAATGTAATATGTGGTCACAAAGTGAATGCAACAAGTGTGCAGGCAATTGGCTGCTGCAGTATAGTGTTTAAAGTGTAAGTAGCAAATAGTAAATTAGCTTTGTACAGGACTCAAGATCTAGATGTCAAATCAATCAAATTAGCCTACTGTTTCCCCCATAATGCAGACCCAATCCAGTGCTTGTGATTTGCACTGGAAGGGAACCTCCCATTTTGTTCCAATGGAAATTATCTTAATAGCAGACAAAGGGGTGAGGAGGGTAATCCAGACTGGGACTGCAACAGGGAGCAAAGGGTTAAAGCACCCTCTTCATCCTGCACATGGAGTTTCCCCCAGTAGCGAACGAAGGCCAACCGACACCCGGGGCGGGGCAAACAGCCAGCTGCGCACGCATTGTGCTGCTACGTAGGACACATGTATGGCGTCGCTACGTACGATGCATGTGTGGCGTTGCTATGTAGGGCTCATGTGCAGTGTCACTACATACAGCGCACACATGCGACACCGTGCAAGTGTTGTGCGTAGCTGTTTGCCACCGGAGCCGCTCGAACGCCGTACAGACGTGGGATCCTCTGCTCACGGCTGGAGCCACAAACGGAGCATCTTCCACATACAGTGGCGGTGGCGCAATGGTTGCTCGCACTGCCGTGGCCAGGGGGCAGAGCGAGCACCCCCTGGGGTGCCTTCTTGTCACCCCTACAAATATGGCACCCAGGGCACACCGCCCCCGCCCCCCCCCACTGGTTCCCCCCCCCATACCTGCTATTTACGGTTTTTAGAAAAACACCTTCAGTTTGGCCCTGATTAACACCCCCCTTCAGAAAAGCCCCATCAGGTTTGAAAATATTATTGCTGGAATGACAGCTTCAATTCTCTGAAACAGAAGTGTACAGAATCTCCCTGAGAAATGTTAATAGCCCTATCATACCTCCTTTTTCTTTTTCCTTTCCCTCCCTTGATATTCCTGATTTCAAATTCACCTTGACATGTTACTTTAATCAAAACTACCAGGCAATCACCAGTGTTTGAGAATCCCCTCCTGCACTGAGAAATCTCACTAGTCCTATTGAAACTCTATTTGCTTCCTTCCGAGTGCCTCAGACGTTTCACCTGGGCAGGAATACAAAATTTTCACAATAGGCAAAATCCATTGGCAATGCTGGAAAGAAAGGAGACCCATTTTCTGATTGTGATTATCTAGAACAAAATCTCTCAAAAGGAGGAAATGCTTCTCCAAGCAAGGGGCTTTGGGCATGAATTTGTGTGCTTCATGTAAAAGCGTCGGCAAGAATGGTTTCTGTTTAGAATAATTATACATCATATTTTGTCTATCTCGGTATGTTCTATTTTAATTCACAAAAAGTGAAGGAGGGAACCCAGAGGCAAAGGCAAACATCTGTTGCACAGCTCACTTTCAAATAAGGCTTCCAGGCCTACATTTTATATTATAATAAGCTGGTATGTGCAAGCACAAGATGGATATATTTTAATTGTATTAGTGGGGTTTTGCATTATTCAAGCATGAGAAGAAGATATTTTAATTGTATTGGAAGAATTTTGCAATGTTTTAATGACTTTTAAAGAAGCAAATGGCCCATCTGATTAGACTGATATTAATAGAGGATTGTGGAGCTGAAAGTATACTATGAATAATGCATCTATGGGTGAAAATTCAGATTGCAGTGTTGACAGGAACGTAAGTGTTCAGGTCATGCTTGGGGTATCTGAAGGCTCAATCCTTGTCAGAGGAGTCATCCCGAAGGTCCCAGCTACATAATATGGGCATGCTTAATAGCTCTGGACCCTGATTGGACTTTATTCCATAACCTGCCACAGAACATGCTTCCTGGGGTGTATTAGGTCAGGAGAGATGCTATATCCCTCTGGATTGCTCCAGCAGAAAGTGGCACTAGGCAGTCTCCACAACTGGACACATCTCCCGGTAAGACCCAGTGAGGTAAACAGCAACCCTCTCAAAAAATTCACCACCCCCAAGAAAACAGAACTTCTGCCTTGCCTCTTGAAGGGGGCATATTTCCATGAAAGGGGGTGATGTTCATATCCTGGCTGAAGCCCAAGCCAGGATAGCTCCTCCATTGATGAAGATCACAATGCTGTCAAGTCTGAAGACCTTATGTGGCCTCCTGACTCCAACACGAGTCACTTTCAGTATCTCTGGTGGCCCTTCTGCAGTATGACCTGTGGACAAGGTACCTGACCCACCTGCATAATCAGAGAGGAAGATTTAAGTACTTCCCAGCTCCAAGGAATGCTGGTGTCAGAAGGTACAGGTAAAGGCAATCACTTGTGGGCAGAAGAACCAGGCTTCTTGGGGGTATGAAGACTCACTGGGAGCCAAGAACTTTGTAGTCTGAGCTAACCAGTTGCAGCTGGGCCTGGGTGACAAGGCTACATAAACTCAGTTGAAGCCTGCTTGTTACTTGCTAGAACAACGCAGACCCTTTGTTCTAGGTAGCCCAGCTTCTTGTTCCAGTGGCCTACTCTGACTGATCAACTTTGTACTACTGATCCCTGCCAATGCCTAAATCTTGCAATCCTGCCTACCTTTTGACAGCTGTGCTGCTTTTAACTTTGGCTTTGTCTCACAACCCTGCTGTTGGATCATGAACACTCTTGGATACATGCCCACTGTGGATGATCTTGATTTCTTCTTAAAATCCTGTTTCTGGATTGTCCTGATATGTGACTGCCACCAGATGAAGGCAGGATGGGTGGTGAGGGAGGATTTCAGCCCAGCATTAGTTAAAACACATTACTAGGAGAACTCCTGTTGCTGATTAGAAGTCTGCAGAATTAACTGGATCCAGCCAACATCCAATGGGCCACTGGTGAGCCAAACGGCAAGGGTATGTGTAATGTGCCATCATAAATTTATTTCTGCTCACCACCGCTCATCCTTCCCTGGATGCCCAACATGAAATGAGAGGCCTTTTCCTCTCACATTCTCTGTATGGCATACTGAATATACACTTGAAGGGGTTGTAATGGAACTATCTTGTTCCCCCCTTGATACTTGCCCGGTCCCACTGGGTGTGATTCTTGCTCTGGGGATAAAGGAAAGACTACATGAGCTGCCCTGCCTAGCTGTAAGGTAGTTGTGTGTGCTGTTCTTAACAAAATGAACTGTTTATGAAACTACCTGCTCCCACTGAGTGCTGATGTGAATGAGCAGGATCATGGACGCCTCAGTGAGGACTCCACTCATCTGGCATGTGAGTTACAGCAGTATCAGGATAACCTGACCACTATAGTCTAGTTATTGGTAACATCAATACTGGGTTACTGCAGTGTACTATATGTTGGGCCTGTTTCAGAAGCTCAAGCTGGTGCAGAATGCATCAGCTAGACTGATGATGGGGTAGATGCCCAACAGCATCTGCTAAAACATTTGCACTGACTACTCATATGCTACCAGGCCAAGCTCAAGGTTCTTGTGTTAAACAACTTGGGCCCAGTGTTAAGGAAGACTGTCTGGCCTCCACTAGAACTTGGGCATTTAGCGTCACCAGTCCCATGCTGTGGAACACTCTTTCAGCAGAGTTTGACATGCTTCCTTTTGACTTCCAAGCATCTCCGGAAAAGCATTTTTGTGCCAACAGGCCTTTGCAGCGGTCTGGGGTGCCAACTTTAATAAAATATTGGGGGGGCAGGTAAACCCTGACCCGCATAATTGATCACATGATGTGGTGCTCACACACCATTTGAATGGCAGTGCCCATCAACATTGGCACATGCTCTTTGCTCAGGGTGGGGTTATGTCTCTCACTTGGCACCAAGCCTTTAAGAGAGTCAGAAGTGGCACAGGTTTCTCTCACTATATCTGATCAACAAAAAGAGAAAGACAGTCACTCACTATAAATCTGCTAGAGAAGGTCAGAAGTTACAAGAGAATCTCGGAACAGCTTCTTTCAACAAAGCTTGGCATGAGTTAAGAGGCAAGGCCAGAGAACTTCTGAGTAGAGTGATGATGCAGAAGCTGAAAATGATGGCCAGATTTGTGATGGGACTGGATCACAGGAAGCAGTTTCTAGGCTCTCAACACTGCAGTAACAAATGAACGGGGGCAGAAAACTATTCCTTTGGGAATTTTGGCTTTGTGCTAGCTATCTTCTATGATCTGGTCTATTCCCAGAAGAAAAATAACTTTGCACAGTCACAGGAAGCATCTTTTATTGGCCAAGATAATAATAATCTTTATCAGGCTTACTTTAGCATTATCTTGAGAAGGCAAACTCTCTAAAGCCGGGTAAGAGCTCTCTCTCTCTCCATACCCTTCAGCTTGAACACTGATAGATGGATATTAATATCCGCTTGTGCATTTAGGGCCTGATGGAACTTCATTCAATTTAAATGAAAGGCTCCCATTTTCTTCTATAGGCTTTGGATCAAACCTCATGACGGCACAATTTCCTTCCCTTTTAGCAAAGCTCTTATTTTATTATTATTGCTGTATTACTGGAGGAAGGCCTGTTGTTAAGTTTAATTGACAGGTCTTGGGGGAAGGAAGAGAATTCTGCTCCTCTCCCAACCACACAATAGTACTTCTCCTCTAATACACTACACCCTGCAATCAGATGGAGGGGTCAGGCCTAACATTCCAAATCTTTTCCCCTGCTTCCCCCAGTGAATCACACTACAGTGGTACCTCTGGTTAAAAACTTAATTCCTTCCGGAGGTTTGTTCTCAACTCGAAACCATTCTTAACCTGAGGCACACTTTCACTAATGGGGCCTCCCGCTGCATGTGTGCCTCCGCTCGCATTCCGGGGCAAAGTTTGCAACCAGCAGCACCTACTTGCGGGTTAGCGGAGCTCGTAACCTGAAGCATTCACAAGGAGCACAGTTCGTGACCAGAGGTTTTACTGTATGTAGGCCAGGCAGTAGCATGGGGGGGGGCTCGGGGAACAGTCACACTGGACAGCTTTTGGGGGGCACATTCCTCATGACACCTTGCTACATCATCAGCTGTTGCATCCTTCTCACACTGCCCTCCAGCTGTAGCGTGCCTTGAGAAGGATGCAACAGCTCACAGCGCCCTGTGCTCCTCCCCACAGTGTTGCTTTACACCCTGCCCTGTTCTGTTCTTCTCATCCATCCTCCAGCTGGAGGGCACCTTGAGAAGGACACGACAGCTCACATGGGCCCAGTGTAGATAGAACCAAACCTTCTTTCCTATCCCTGGGAATTAAGTCTGCTTCTGTCTGCATAGACCCACCCCTTTCACCATCAAAATGCCATTCTAGGTTCTGTTTGCTGGTCATGGTGCACTGTGGGAAGGCACACAGAGCTGGTTCTCACATAATGCAAAGCCAATCCATAGCTTAGTATGAACTTAAGGTTTCCAGAAGGGGAGTAGCAGATGAAAGAGGTGCCAGATGACCTCGTGTCCTTCTTTCACAGAACTCCTTAGATCTACACTGCTTTCTCAGTCTCAACCTTTCCTCCTACTTTATAATATGGAAACAATAATACTGACCTACCTTACCAGGCTGGTGCTAAAAGGATTAGCAACTGAGATAATGGATGTGAGGTGCATTTGAACATTTGAAATGTGTTATATAAATGCAAAGTAATTACTATTCCTTTGATATTTATGGAGCTATGTATTTATGCCCTCGGCATCAGAGTACAAAATTTGGCCCAATTACTGTCCCCTATAGAGTTTTCAGTGAGATTTCTACAAGGTCAGCAATATACAGTATATATTTTCCAGAGAGAGTGGAAAAGCCTGTAGCCATTATTTATAGAGGAGAACTGTTTTCCTGGGGGGGGGGGGGGAGATGACCCATGGCAGAATATAATGCTGGAAGACAAGAGTATCTGAATCTTTCCTCTTGGCGCAGTGTGAAATATAGTATTGAAATGACATCTTCATCCAGCGTGCCTCAAGTTCACAGCCATATGTCCTGGTATACTGCCCAGTTTGTTCTTTCTTGCCACGGTTGGTGATTAAAAATGTTACATAAGCTTCTAGAAGGACTTTGGTTGGCCATAGTTTTTGCTTCTGTGACTTACTTCACAGCTGCCTAACATTCAGGAATTAACATGCAGGTGAATGTGCATGTATGTTTGTCATTTCAGGCTGCAGCGTCTTATGGCTTACATTTTTCATTCTTTGTTTTCTTTCTTTTCCTTATGTTTTCACTTCTTAACAAATCTATAAAAGATGTTAAAAATGAAATCAATATGCAGGCAAAGCTTTCCCCCATCATGTCTCTCTGCCAGGAAAACCTTCACTTCCTAAATTTCTGTATTTTGGGCTGCAGTGGAAGGCAATGGAGCAAGGCCAGTAGTAACAACAATACTGGAACAGTAACAGCAACAGTGGAGTTGGCAACCCTATTAAAGTTTGTCTGTTTTGGCCATTAGCCAAACTTAAATACTGAGTTTTGATAGTGCTTTTCTTTCAGAGCAACTTTTCTGCTCCATGTCTTTTCTCTTGGTTTGGCATCAACGCGACTTCATTAAAGACTTGGGTGCAGCTTCAAAATGGCCGCATGAAAACTGTACCTCTTATCTGCAGCCCTTTCGGATGCAAACAAAGTATTTAGCTGCCAGTGGGAGATAAGAAATCAGGAAATAAGCATTTTTCATACTTGTAAAGGACTCCCCTAGACCTGTGCAGTTGCTGGCCATGACCAAGCAAGTTATCCCAAAGTGTTTATAATGAAAAGGCAGTTGCACTGGTGAGGTGATGTAGGTGGGGCTCTGTTGCTATCCTGGATCCCCAACACAGGAGGTCACTGCTGATTACCAAGAAGGAGAGGGCAAGGCACAGGTTGCTCAGGGTAGTACAGCATGTGGCAACAGGAGGGTTGGATTGGCTCCACTGAACCAAGCTCCTTGTGCCTCACCCCTCACCCTTTTGGTAAGTGATAGTGGCCCACTGTGTTGGGAAACTGGGAGAGCAACAGAGTCACCCACCATCTCCCATGCTGCCTCACCAGCTTCATTGGGCAAGGGACAACCTAAGGTTCTTCAGGGGCCCCAAAAAATGCAGAGAAGTGTTCAGAGCAAAGCACATTTTAATTAAGAGTATAAATAGTCCTTTGAATGAGGCCTAACAGACTCTTGCCTAGGGGCCTGAGTAAGTCTGTCTTGTGGAAGAGCCATAAAACCTGGTTGGCTTCCTGGGCACTTCTGGGCCCAACTCTCAGTACTACTTTAGACCTTCAAAGCCTTCAAAGTGGTCTAGAGGTTACTCTCTCTTAACACATACAATACAATGGCATTCTTCTAACAGGATAGTAATCAACTGATACACACTCAGGTATGAATGGGTTCTTGGTGAGTCAAGGAGGAAGTGTAACTTTGGTCAAGTCAAGTCCAGCACATGATCTGGGGAAACCCAGCCAGATGGGCGGGGTATAAATAATAAAATTATTATTATTATTATCATTATGATCTGTTGAATCGCAAGGATTCTGTCTAACTAGCATGAATAAATGGAGTGTCTTCCTTCTCCCATATATTTATCCAGTTCTTCTGTGAAATCAGCACAGAGAAAGTCACAGATCCAAAGGGTGTTGAACTCAGTGCTCTCTATTTACAGAGGTGCTGCACATACAGGCATTCAGTTTGAGACAGGCTGAAGATGGCAGTCTAATTTTGACTGTGAGGGGTTTCCCTCCACTCGTTCTTTCAGTGTGGTGTTCTTCCCTGGAAAGGCTGAATTTCCAAGCACCTTGTCGGGAAAGATCACTCTCACCCAAGTGAAGCTGCCAACACGAATCTAAAGACTAGTATATGGCACTTGGCACCGAATATTCCCTTCAGCCACACTGTCTTCTTCCAAAATACAACTATTTTCTGAGATATGCCATTCTGAATGTCTGTGAATTAACCTAGACCACTCATACACATACACAGGCACTGTAAGCATAGTTTCACACACTACAATATAGAGGGAAATACGAGTGCATAAGGAGTTGAGAGCTCTAAACTTTACTCATTGTTAAGTCTTTTAAGAAATTGGAAAGGTTAGCATAGAGGTGATGTGGCCTTTAGGTCACTAATATTCAAATGATACCCCACCTTATCTCTCATCTGAATCAGGAGAAGCAGTGCAGGTGGTGAATCAGTGCCTGTGGGTAGTAATGGACTAAATGTGGACTAATAAACTGAAGCTTAATCTAGACAAGAGGGAGGTTCTATAGGTGAGCAGCTCTCAGGTCTGGGAAATGATAGATCAATCTGCTCAGTATAGAGTTGAAGGAGCAGACACCTAGTTTTCCAGTGCTCCATGAAGCATCTTTGTCCCTTGAGGCCCAGATGGTCTTGGTCCTCAGGTGTGTTTACTCCCAGCTCTTGCTGTTGCACCAGCTACAACAATTTCTGGCCAGAGATAGCTCCATGCCCTGGTAACTTCCAGGTTGGACAATTGCAATGCACTCTGCATGGGTCTACCTTTGAAAATGGTCCAGAAGTTTGTCGGGCAACGGTAAATTAATCAACACAGAGTCTTCTTTATAAACAGAATGAAACTTTACTGAAGAAAATAAACTTGTTCAGAAACAGCATAGTTAAAGAGCATACACAGAGTGCTCTGACTCTTCACAGAGGCATTGTCTTAGTTGCTGATTAACTGGAGTCCTGGAGTCACTCTATCTGCAACAACTATACATTCACATTCACACTCTATCTGCAACAGCTATACATTCACATTCACACTGAGACTCTGAACTGGACTGAAGCCCACAGAGAGCCTGGCTTCTTTTTATAGGGAGAATGAGTCATCACCCAAGATGAGTCACGAGTCACAGTGACTTAGCAGTTTACTGTTAAACAGTTAGCAGTTAGCAGGCTTAGGCCTGAATGATTGTGTAGGCCTTGTAGGCCTTACTGCTTCTTCTATGATGACACCACCATAATGGGTTTAATAACAGGTGGAGACAAATCAGCGTATAGAGGGGAGGTCCAAAAAATATCTACATGGGGAACAACTTGCACCTTAATATCAGCAAGACAAAGGAGATGGTGTTGGACTTTTGGAGGAAGAGATAGTATCTCAGGTAGAAGGCCCTGGTCCAATAATTTTCTATGTAGAAGAAATTCTATCTATGTCAGAACCATTCAAATGCTCAGGCTCCAGTTGCACCCTGAAGAATATATTGCTTGGAAAGCTTTAGCACATCATTCTGCTGCTAATATAAAATAGTCCATAGAAAGAGATTTCCAACAATCCTGAATCTGGCTCTTGGTTATTCTTTCTTTATTTTCTTATTGCCAGTGTCATTATTTCTAGTGAGGCACAGCAAACGTTTGAGTCATAGAGGTGTCGTGTTGGCATTGTTTCAGCTATAATTTGAGATATCGTGCGACACTGTGGGGATTGGAAACATAGATCCTCGGTGATTTGGGGCTGAGGAAATAAAGTGAGGGGGGTAAGGGTGGTGCCATGATACATTTAAAGGGATGCTCATGATACTTGCTTGCTACAGAAAATGGCTGTTTGTTTGTTTTTTTAATCCCGTGAGCTTGACCATGGAATTGGATATTCAATCTTTTATTTCACAGCCTCAGATAGCGGGCATCCCTCCCATGTCTGAAATGAACTGTCACTCACTTTGCCACCTGTACTAGCCTGACATAATGTTAACTGGCAGTTTGCTAACATTCCAAATTGCCACCACGCTCTTTAACTCAGCCACTGGAATTCTTACTCAGAGTCTGCTGTTCAGCAGTGTTCAACACCTGCTGCCAGGGAGGATGGCAATACAGTGCTCAGGTAGCCTACTAAACAAGCTAGAATTTATCACCACATGGTGAGCTACAGTGCAAGTGAGGCAGGAGAAGGGAAATGAAAAAAAAAAGAGCAATGTATTCTTTATGGCCATTGGACATTCACTTCAGGTCAGCAGAGCTGAGAACACTGACCCCTGAGGCTGCTGGAGAATAGAAAAGGCTACTAGAAGAATTATAGACAGGTTAGTCTTCCACTCTCATTGGTGGGTCAGAATTAGGGGTTGAGGAGAGTTCCAATTCACATTTAAAGTCAAATTTATATAATCCACGCTTTCCAAAACAATATGTGAAATGAAACACAGTTGCCTTTGAAATTCACAGTTCTCTGAATTTTGCAACACAGTTCTCCAGCCATGTAATGTGTTCAAAAATCCATATGCCACAGTAAAGTGTGCACATTCTGTGCACATAAGTAAAAATAAAATACATTATAACATGCATTATATTAGGGAAAGTTCATTTGCAAAAATGTGCATATTAGGCAAAATTGCATACAGACATGACTATATTGGGAGAAAAGTACACTAAGATGCTGATGAATGTTAAGGAGGACTAAAAACAACAACTTGGAAACTTATGACTGGAAAGATTTAAAACTGAAAGAACCAAAATGGTAAGATTTGCCCATCATTAGTAAGGATCAACAGATGGTTACCAACAGTTATGGTAAACAACAACAACACTGTTTGCTCATCAATTATTTGAGGGGAAATGTTCTAAACAAAAAAACAAAACAAAACACATTGCTGGTGCGCATTTTAAAAATCATTGAAATTCTGATCCAATTTCAGTTAATGGTAAGAATCTGAGTTACCTAATCCTGTGCAGACAGTCTTTCCACACATTGGTCTAGACCTGAAAAATGGTATGTACAGGTTGTGAGTTTGTACTCTGCACTCAGAGTTTGTACAGGTTTACTCAATGCATAAAGAACAACTGCCTGAAGCGAGAGGGACATGCTGGAAATATCACAACAGCCTCACATGCATATATAAGAAAGACTGCTCTGGACAAGGCTATGCTAATCAAATAATATGTATACATAAAAGAACTAGCAATTAGTAAAGTAATGTTGCAGTTCAGAATCTGCCCTTCAGGTTGCCATAAATTGCTGTGATTAATCCAACTGAGAAAATGCATGTTGCACTGTTGTGTGTGTGCATGAATGAATAATATGAATTCAAAAATATATAGTTTCCACCTCTGTTTTGTTTATCAACATAGCATCATGTGCACATTTTCAGCACACATAATCTAATAAGAGCAAAGGGAATTGCGTTGTCCATCATCCACCAGAAAATGTAGCATTCAAAAGGCATCATATACAGGTACAAAAACGCAATATGGTGTTTGAGTAAATCAAGATCCTGCAATATTATATATTTACAAAAACAAACAAACAGAATTTGTGCCCTTGTGAAAAAACGTTATTTAAGCATCATATCTCCTTAGCTTCTTGCGTGCTGTAATAAGAGTGTGTTCAGTGTAGAGGGAAATAAATACCACAGTCTCTTTAAACTAAGTTGAAAAATCCAGCAAGAAGGAATGGCTACATATGGGGCAACAGTTGCACAGCAGATATTTGCTAAGG